GAGATTGACTAGAGACTCTCTTCTTCATGCATTCCCATGCGAAATGAAAGTCTCCCCAACATTGTTCTCTCAGATTAAGACAAAAGCTCATCCACACAACCAGACATGTGTCTGACCTTGCGCAATCGGAATGATGGTCAAAAGATATAAAGAGAGGGGGGTGATGGTGGTCATCGTTACTTTTTCTATTTTCGTATTGGAGTAGAGTTTGGAGACTACCAGTAAACCAGTAACATGAGAGGTGTATTTTTGTCATTACAATTCATATAAAGCGACAACACCACTTTAAATGTGATTGTAGAGTTAATTATTGTTGTATTATGTGAAGGAACAGTTGATCGGAGAGAATGTGTTGATTGGTCTCACCGGAAACCGAAGCAGAGTTGACTATGGGATTGTGCGAAGAAGTCCTCGGCTCACCGAATTATAACTCCGATGAACCTGTGCTAAGCTTTTGTCTGTACAGTTATGACATTAAATAAAAAATGCATACAAAACAACGCGAAAAATATACTAAACTAAGTGCATTCGTTCGTGAAGCATAGATTCTTGCTCTGATGATGCCCGTCCCGACGGTACAGACGAAAGTTTCGCACAGATTTGTCGGGTTTGCTGGCCGGTTGGTCGGGGACTTCTTCGCCCAACTCGACCTAAGGGCACTCGTGGCAACGTGTCAATCTGCCATTCTGCACTGTCACGGTTCGACTCCCGCTGGCGGTGTTGATAAGACCGATGCGAGGTCGAAACTGCAGTCCACTGGGGCCTGAATGAGAACAACTTTTGGGCCAGCATGACAATGTGAAATTCCATGGAAACGTCATTGTGGGAAAATTCTTCTTCTACCAGTCCTTCATCACCTTAAACGAAATTGGGTGAATACCTCCCATGTTACTTTTTCTGGTTTCGTGCATATGTCAACACATACAGACACACTGACATGCTTCGAGGTAGACATTTGACTGGAATTGGCCAAATAATTGTATACCTTATCGAAGAGGTCAGATGTACAGCATTCAAGGATGAGCCGGCGAGTTTTATTGACTCGTTAACTGTAAGGATGATACCCTCCTTTGATGATGTCCGTCATACGATGGACGAAAGCTTAGCAAGTTTTCACCGGAATCGAAGGAGATTACCTCAGTCTCAAAAAACATGTTCTAATAATTTAAATCGACAGCTGGTCAAGAGAAATCCGCAGTCGTATTCTGTTGGGATCGAACTTCACATCTCTTTTCTAAACACTTTAGCTCGAAATAGAAGTAAGCTCAACAATTATGAAACAAGACCATCCTCGGAAACCAAATTTGCGTCATATATACCAAATCCGTCATCTGATGGCATCATCGGAATCGAGGGAGATTGTCTCGAGGACAACGTCAAAATGAGTATTCCGGCTAGGCCAAACCAGACGTGATCATTTGGAAACTGTCTTCGCCTTCCTGTTAGATCGACGTCATACATCTTCACTCAAAATGAAAATAGGCTCAACACTTAAAACGAAAAGCTTCGTAAAAACCCAACTTTTCTTCGCTTATCAATTACAGCTCCGTTTAGGCTCCTGATGAGATACTGCAATTCTGTACATGAGGTGTATTTCTCCTATTTCGTTTAGTGTGATATGGGCATTGATAGATGAGTTTTCCCACAATCATACGTTTCCATTGAATTCCACGTAGCCTTGCTTTTCCAAAAGTTACTCTTACCCAGGCAGAAATGGACTGCAGTTTTGACCTCTTTTAGGTCTCGTCAACATTGATTCGAGTCCCGCTGGGAGATTCGAACGTTCGTCCCATCAGAAGACAACAGCAAAAATTCAATGCAAATGTAAGGAGCATTCATCTACCGGTCCTCTTATCACTCTAAACGCAATAGACTTAAAGCTAC